CCCAGTGTCTCCAAAGATTGCACATTGTACACGAGCTTCTTGTAAAATTCGTGGATAGGTGCAGGTTGTGTTCCTGTAATGACAGGCAAATTCGCGATGTTCTGGACGTACGCATTCACGATCTCGCTCGTTTTTCCATATTCGCCGATGAGGATATTCTTTGCCCTTTCGTAGCCCTCTGTTGTGAAAGGCAGTCCGTCTATCTCCGCTCGAACCTTTGGATCTACCAGCTCTTTTAGGTATGCAAACTTGGTCACAGATGCAAGGTTTGCTTTATCAATTTCAGCTTGAAATTTGTTCCAGAACGGCAGCCATGCTTCATACGTCCCATTAAACTTTGTGATCTGTAGTTTCGGTAGCTTTGTTGTCCTTTGTTCAGTCTGATTAACCTTCTCAACAGGTTGCTGTTTTGCCTTGGTCTCTTCCAGTTGGCGTTCGAATTCTAGCTTCATCTCCATTTGCTCTCTTTCGAATTTAAGCTCCTCTTCACGAGCACGGGCTTTCCTTTCTTCTTCGTCCTTGTGCTTTCGATGTTCGATCTCTCCATTCGTCTCCACGAGCCATTTTTCTAGTCGCGAAACTTCTTCGTCAGCTTCGGCGATCGGTTCTTCAATGCTGCTGCTCCAACTTCCAACGTCTTCTGCACTTTTCCCGGCCTTGAACATGGTCTGTTCAACCTTTAGTTTAAGCGCGTCTACTTCTTTTACTAATGCTTGTAGGTTGTCGCGATGTCGCGCAACCGCTCCTATGTTTCCCTTTTCCACAATGCCACGTGTTTTTCCATTAGTGTACAGCAACATCTGCAATTTAGCCTCTGCTTCTTTGGTTAGTTCCTCCATGCTTCGCGCGTCCCGTCGGAGGTGCCACTGTGTCGGAAATGAGACTAAAGAATCTGCTATGTTCCGAAACTTCACGTTTTATTTTATAAAATCAACTTAATCTCCCGCTCTCTCTCACCGTTCTCTGTCTTTCGCTCTGGTCTCTCTCATTTTTAAATATATAATATGATCCTATTGTTCAATCATCTGTCACTTATCGCAAAAAATCAACCGGAAATCAATTAACGCTGAATAAGTACCATGCAAGAAAGGGATAACTCTTTGTGAGAGAGTAACACTGCTTGTGATCAGAGAACACCGCCTTTACAGCGATATTTTGATTTAATAGAAATAGACCTTTAAAAACTCTACCTAACGTGACATCGCGCGGATATGATCTCCAGCGGTCGGAGAATCCAGCAACCAAATAACTGAGACTCGACAAGTCATGAAGGTTGAACATCACGTCACAAAATGTAAATACCCTCATGGTAATAATGAGGGTGTGGTGAGTGTTCACAAAAGATTTTGCATAACTTTTTTCTGATGAAAGCGATGTGACAATTAGCGGAAATTCCTGTGTGTACGAGTAACAACAATGTATGAGAATAAGATCGAATGAAATGAGCGCGGAAGATAAATGTTAGTGCGAGTGGGATGTGAGCATTGCCTAACATCTAGCTTGCAGTGTAGGCTTCTCGTTAACACGATTTAACGTTACAAGCTTGTGATCGTTGTTTTCGACCGGCCATACTTGATTTAGAGTAGGGAAAGGTATCAGGGAAAGTTGAGAAGATGATAAGATGTTAATTTTTAACGCAAACGCTCTCAACAAAACGATGAACGCCACATGGACCTTGCTAGGTACGGACAGATAGAGGAACCTGAAATTGAAAGCCAGTCTTGTCAATAACAACATAAAAGCCACGTGGACGCTTGCCAATTTAAAAACTGAGAAGAGTTTATTGTTCCAAGGCAGTGCTCTCAACAAAACTGCCGAGGCCTCCTGGACTTTTTTTGAACTTAACTAGTGAAACGTGATTGAATTTTAAAGCTAGCTGCCTAAACAAGACTCTTAAAACAAGCTTATCAAAATTTTTGTTCTGGCAACCTTTCTCCTCTTCTACCGTTTGACCGTCGCTCACCTATTTGGAACAAATTTCTTTCTCTCCCCAGTCTTCCGCTACTGTTAAAATAAATGATGGCAGCTTTAATTTTCACCAGGAAAATACTGAGCACTCACTCACTGAATCAAAATTACCTTCTGAAAATTGTGTACGTGCACACGCCTGATAATATAGCAAAACACAGATATCTCCTTGGTCAATAAATTTTTAATAGTTTCGATTTTTGTTAGTTTGTTTGTTGTTGTTGTTATTGTGATTTTTGTTAAATTTTCTCTAACTCAAAGTGAAATTCATTTCTTTTCCCTTCCCTTGAAGAGATCTATTTTTCTCTGTCTTTTCCTGGTCTTTGACAACCATGCACTGAGGCAACTAAGCCTGTGTGAGAAAAATTATTAATAACCTGTATTTTCAATTGAAATTGTAAGAGTGCCTGACAACCTTAATTTTTATAGGTAGTGCTTCAAGTAAATCTTTTTCAGAAGGATAATACTGCTGCACATTATGGAGTTCAGTCCAAGAAGCTTAGATGTGTTACTCTTTCTCTCCTGGGATACCTTGATTGTTAAATAAATATCAGTTCAGACATATACATTTCTTTCCAGGTCTGCATGAGTTAAGGTGACGGCAGTCTGTTACAGTTACAGTGTTCTCAAAACAAACCGATTTAAGTTAACGATCGAAGACTCTTTTCGATCTACAATGCACCACAACTCTGTTTTCGCAAATGAGGTAACAATTAAAGCACAATATTCAATAGTGTCGAAACAGTCGATGATTCAAGAGCTTGTTTTATGGTATTTGAAGCTAAAACCTAAACCGATTTCAACGTTTATTTACAACACGTTGGTGAAAGCTTGCTTGTTTATAAAGACACACAAACAAGCAACAATAGTGAAGTGAAAAAAGAAGAGAAAAAAAGTAAGAAATTTGAACCTTTATCATAAACTCCGTAAACCTGTTTTCCGATTTGGGCTGTTCGAGGAAACAGATGCACTCCCTTTCAGTTTCTCTGAATCCACTCCAAACGCAATCGATCAGTTCAAAATGCTAGGTCTTTCAGACACATCACTATCGTCATTGGACACCTTGTTCTCTTCGGGAATACGTTCTGGCTCGAAGTGATATGGTTCTACAGCAGCCATGCTTGTTTCACGGCAAGGTAGAGCTCAATGACGTCACGCAAGATGGCGGCGTTATTGTGGCGTTACTTTTTTAGCAATAAAGACTACTAAAGCAGTACCGACCGAACTTTGGCAACAGCTAAAGAAACTGAACCGCCGAAGAGTAAACCTTCGCTACGATAACTAAAGCATCAATTACAACTGGTCCAAAAACAACCATAAGAAATTACAAATACCGCTGCACTCCCATTTTAGAGGCCACAGGCCAACCCCCACCCCCACCCCTTCGCCCCTCGTTAAACTTAGACCAATATGAATAAAGGGGTAAGTTTCTAAAGAAACTGTGGTGCTGCGTCGGTGGGAGAGTATAGCAGGTAATTTAGTGTAAACAACTGGGTTGAAAACGTAAATTAGCCACCATAAAGGGTAAAAAAGCTGACGTTTCGAGCGTTAGCCCTTCGTCAGAGCGATTAGAGGAATTGTGGGTTGTGTGTGGATTTATATGTAGGAAGTGGAGCTACGCCATTGGTGGGAATGTGGTGACGAGAAAACAGGAATAAATTAGTTGAATGAAAAGCGCTCGTTGATTCCGTGGGGATTAAGGGTGCCGATTTGGAATATAAATTTTTGTTCTAGTGTTTTGCGGCTTTCCGAACTGCCTAGATGTAAGGAAAGGCCGCAAACTGCCATATGCTGTTTAGAATGATAAGGAAGATTAAAGTGTCTAGCGACTGGTTTGGATGCGTCCTTGTCATTTCTTTCCACATCGCGAAGGTGTTTTCCGACACTTCTTTGGCTTTTCTAGACATCAAAATTTCAATTGAAGGCAACGGCTTATGTACTAGTGTTTACTACAAACCTACAGATTCACATAGTTACTTGTTGTATTCATCTTCACATCCATCACACGTCAAGAACTCCATACCTTTTTCACAGTTTCTCAGACTTCGTCGTTTATTTAGTGACGACTCTGATTTTTCCGAAAAATCAGAGGCAATGTGCCAGTTTTTCGATAAACGCGGCTATCCTGTTTCTGTCGTTCAAGCGGGCTACCACCGTGCCCAACTAATCGATCGACAGGCAGCACTACAAACGGCCGAGAAGGAGAACACTGACCGCATTCCATTTACTCTTACATTTCACCCTCACAACCACGCAGTTAAATCTATCATTCTTAAAAATTTTAAATTACTCCAAAACGATTCAGAGACTGGCACTATCTTTTCGCAACCCCCACTTATTTCATTCAAACGCGACAAAAACATAGGCAAATTTTTAGTCAGGAGTTCATTTCCAACCTATGACCAATCTGGAACTTTTAAATGCGCTCGCTCACGATGCAAAACTTGTCCTTTCATTCATAACGTAGAGAAAATATCGGGACCCAAAAGATCTATTAAGATCATTGATCACTTTACGTGTACCTCCGCCAATGTTATTTACTGCATAACTTGCACTTATTGCAATAAGTTATACATCGGCGAAACAGGAAGACGACTGGGTGACCGATTCCGAGAACACCTTCGCGATGTGGAAAGAAATGACAAGGACGCATCCAAACCAGTCGCTAGACACTTTAATCTTCCTTATCATTCTAAACAGCATATGGCAGTTTGCGGCCTTTCCTTACATCTAGGCAGTTCGGAAAGCCGCAAAACACTAGAACAAAAATTTATATTCCAAATCGGCACCCTTAATCCCCACGGAATCAACGAGCGCTTTTCATTCAACTAATTTATTCCTGTTTTCTCGTCACCACATTCCCACCAATGGCGTAGCTCCACTTCCTACATATAAATCCACACACAACCCACAATTCCTCTAATCGCTCTGACGAAGGGCTAACGCTCGAAACGTCAGCTTTTTTACCCTTTATGGTGGCTAATTTACGTTTTCAACCCAGTTGTTTACACTAAATTACCTGTTAGACCAATATGGACGAAATATGGGTGGAAGGTGGGATGATGCGCAAAATCGTCCTATTTTAAATTTCTTCATGTCACGCAACCACGCTATGAAGAGTCAAGTGCTGCATCGTTAAACATTGTTAGCCATCAGAGTCACTTATTGTTATCTTGGCAATGAGAGCAAAATCAGAAAAGTTATTTTATTATGATTTTTCTTTAGGAAAGTACATTGTTAAACGAATGTTCATCTTTTTTCACTAATTCATCAGTTGGTGAAGAGCCCACATCAAAACAACCAACAGAGCGTCCTGTCACAACCAAGGATGCGGAGGGGACCACAGCACCAACAGAATCTTCTGGCCCAACCAAAGAAATGGACGTAATTTCAAAAGGGAAACCAACAGAACCTCCGACCCCATCCAAGGGAACTGAGCTAAAACTCACCCAGAAACCAACAACTCCTCATGAAGCAACAATAGAAACTGAGCCTTCTTCTACTACTACCGAAACAAAAGCCAGTATAAAACCTTCAACCAGCGCACAAACTACGGTCACACCTATCACTGCAGCTCCCACCTCCGTAGCAACGACTCAAACCACGACAGGACCTAAAAAAACGCAGGATACTACCACAGCACAGCCAACAACCACAGAAAAACCAACAACCATTGCTTCAACAACCATAGCACAGCTAACAACCACAGAAAAACCAACAGCCACAGCACAACCAAAAACCACAAAAAAACCAACAACTACTGCTCCAACAACCACAGCACAGCCAACAACCACCGAAAAAACCATCAACTACTGCTCAACCAAAAACCTACGCATCATCAACCGCAGCACAACCCACAACTACAAAAAAAACAATCAACTGCTCTTCCACCAACGACCAATGCTACAGCAACCACAGAAAAACCAACAACCACTGCTCCAACAACCATAGCACAACTAACAACCACAGAGAAACCAACAGCCACAGCACAACCAACCACCACAAAAAAACCATCAACTTCTGCTCCACCAACAACTGCCGCACCAACAACTGCCGCACCAACTACCACCGAACCAACAACCACCGCACCAACAACCACCGCACCAACAACCACCGCACCAACAACCACCGCACCAACAACCACCGCGCCAACAACCACCGCGCCAACAACCACCGCGCCAACAACCACCGCGCCAACAACCACCGCGCCAACAACCACCGCACCAACAACCACTGCACCAACAGTCACCGCACCAACAGCCACCGCACCAACAGCCACCACACCAACAACCACCGCACCAACAACCACCGCACCAACAACCACCGCACCAACAACTACCACATTAACTACCACTGCATCAACAGCCACTGCACCCACAACCACCGCACAAACAACCACCGCACCAACAACCACCGCACAACCCAAAACTAAAGAAAAACCAACAACCACTGCTACGGCAACCAAAGCACAACCAAAAACCACAGAAAAACCATCAACTACTGCTCCACCAACAACCACTCCTCCGGCAACCATAGCACAACCAACAACCACAAAAAACCATCAACTACTGCTCCATCAACAACCATCGCACCAACAACGACAGCACAACCCAGAACCACAGAAAAACTAACTACTGCTCCACCAACAACCACTGCTCTGGCAACCACAACACAACCAACAACCACAGAAAAACCAACTACTGCTCCACCAACAACAATTGCTCCAACAACCTAGACAACCTCTTAAGAAGGAGAGAGAAGTCAGGTGACAACGAACGAGCGATTTTTTTTTTTTTTTTTTTTTTTTTGGATACTTACTTATTCTTCTCCTTGTCGAGTGGTTGTTTTGTTTTGTGTTGTTCTTTTTTTATCTGAGACTCATTCAAGTCGTCAAAGTTCTTCGTACCCACAACCTCGAACGTTTTAAAATTAGTACTCTCGGGTTTGCATAAACTTTCTCGAACTCTCCCAACCTTTTTCGTGTTTAAATGAAGCTACATAAACACAGGAAAAGGGCTATATTGATCAGCGTCAGTATTTTTTGGCGCGGTATTAAAAAATCACTAAGTGACAGGGAGACTTCGTTTCTGCAAATGCCTTTTGGTAAACATAGCTGCATAATACTAGTGTATAATTGTATGTAGAACTTTCCGCAGCCATATAGCCGAGATTTAATTTAGTAACACTGTACCGTACAGATAACACTAAAGATGGGGAAAATAAACACACATTTAATAAAGCGTTTTCCTTCACATTCACTTACTGAATATACCCTGCGAAAAGCGCAGGAAATGGTGTTTCCGAGGCCCTTAATTTGAAAAATTTTTGGGGGAGCATGCTCCCAAATTCCCCGAGTTTGGAGCGCTGCTCAATATTTTCTACTCGTTCGGACACCCTAAAAATCTCACGTTACGCTCCTGCGCTTTCAGAGATGATTTTGAGGGAATCTGGAAAAATTGAACGATGCGATAACCAGCCGAACGGTAACATCACATCACAAAATGTAAATGCATACGTAGTGATAATGAGGATATGGTGAGTGTTGACAGAAGATTCAGCTCAAATTTTTCTGATGAAAGCGATGTAACAGTTAGCAGAAATTCCTTTGTGTACGAGTAGCAATAATGTATGAGAATAAGGTTGAACGAAAAGAGCGCGGGAGATAACTACGAGTTAGATTCTTTTTTTTTTCTCTCCAGTCTTCCTCTGCTTTAAAAATAAAAAATGGCAGATATAATTTCCACCAAGAAAATACTGAGCACTTGCCAAAATCAAAATTACCACCTGAAAATTGTGTGCGTGCAGATGCTTGATAGTGTACCAAAACATATATATTTCTTTGGTATTTGTTTGCTTGTTATTGTTGTTGTAATTTTTTTAACATTATTATTATTGGTGTCTGTTTAAAGTATCTTTATTTAGTTCCAGTCGAAAATCGTCCTAGGAGTAATGATGCCATGTTCCTCGGTTCCGAGGATCAGTAACACTTTTCCTTGAAATGCAGCCTTTTCTGAATGAGAGCAGTCTTTCATAGCAAAAGATCTTCATCTCGAAGAGGTCTCTATTTTCGAAATTTTGCACTTTCAAAGAAAAGTGTATTGTACTCACCATCAGAAGAGTGAGCTAGTAAGGTTTTCTTGCTTCCCAAACAATGTATTAAATAAGATTTACCGAAGAAAAATTCCACTTGCCGCAGCCCTATCACCTACGCCGATTTTAGACGCCGATTGCCATTCAAATTACTCACAAACCATTCAAGAAGTTGTTTTTGTGTCAGTTTTAACACAAAAATGGAATGTCAAAGGCACCGCGATTGATTAATTTTGAGGG